TCCTTGTAATACAAGTTCTCTTTCAAGATCTCATGATCTTGTTTGTATATGTGAAATTCATTGAAAGGCCAAGTTAGAGATGGAATTTTGCACAATATAATACACCTGCTTTAGAACTATGTTTAGAACTATGTTTAGAACTATGGAAATAGTTTGTAAACGTAGCTTTCTGGTTGGGATTATATTCTTGCATTTCCTTGTTCCTGCTGTGATTGCTTTTGATGTTTTAGGAGCAAGAGTTAATCTGTTAGGCACCCTTTTGACCCATTCATTTTCTCAGTAAGAAGTAGGGAACTGCAACAAGGAGAAAACAAGATGGTCAGTGAAGCCAGAGGGATAAGAGACATCAGAAGGCAAGCCAATGCTGGTATGTGCCAGGTTTGTTTTTGGTAAGCTTTGCCCCATGGCTGGTTCAGCTCCATGGGAATCTGAGGCTTTGGAGAAGTGTTGGTGGAGCAAAGGTTCTGCTGTTTTATCTTTACTTGTAGTCCTGCTAACATGGAGGGCCAGGATCACAGAGTGTCTTGAGGGCAATTGAGTGCCAAACTAGGTGAAATGGTTAGCTTCATGTACTTGCTAGCTCTTGTGTAGTCTGGCCCAGCCTGTAAAACTTTCTCTGCTCCAATCCAGACTAGAATCTGAGGTATGAGAAGAAAGGGATATCTGCTATAAGCAGGGAAAGAACTAAGAGCCTGGACTGAGATTAGGAGCTGCATTAAACTTAGCTACAAATTATAAGTGAGGAGAAGAGGGGCCAAGATGGGGAAGTATGTTCCTCGCTTTTGTTCCTTCCCCTTGCTACCAGCTGGTGTTCTTGCTGGTCGTAGGAGAACAGCAAGAGGCTGAAGAGAGGCAAGCAGATGTCTCTATGTCAGGCAAACGCTCCTTTAAAAGACAAAAGACAAATATTGTGGTTGGTTATAAGGTGTGGATGGTGTGTAACTTTCTGCTTGGTGTTTATTTATCACCTACACTGTGACAGCTCTTTGGGAAATGAGCTCAGGAACACCTTGTTCTCCCTGGGGCACTCTGCTGCCATCTGCTGAAGTACAGTTGTGTACCTTGCAGCAATGTTGGTTTTGAAAGGAAAAGATCTTGCTGAGTCCTGAAAATGTTTAATAGTTTATGCAGTCTTAGCCATTGTTTTAAAGTGAACACAACTTTACTTTTTTGGTCTATATACTGTTTTCCAGTTAGTCTCTAAATGAAGCAGATCCTTCTCCTGGATCGGTCTCCTAGTATAGAAGAATGTCTGTTGTTCCCTTAGAACACAGAAGAGATGCTTTGTTCTCCCCACTTCTCGTTTTCTGATTAACCCTCAGGAAGTGCTTCGAAACAAAATTGGCCACTTTCACTTTCTTACTTTTTTATTATGTATGCTGTCGCTTAAATTTTTCCTGGCAGATAGTATTCTAATCCAGCTGGGAGACTGGTATTTCAGTTAGCAGCTGGTCTTACGAGCAGGGCTTTTTGAGCAAAAGGATTTTCATGGAAAATCATTTTAGTAAATGGGCCTGCCGTTATTCTAGGCAATGTAAGGACATGAGCCTACAAGGAGCACAAGCTCTCTGCCTATTTTTATGCTTTGTAAAATCTGGGGATTCTGCCTCATTTTCATATCGGTGCCATGGTGCAACCAAGTAGAGCTGAATTTGCAGTGTTTTCTTTTTTGCATGAATCTAGGATATTCTGAGTCAGTGCGAATACCTGTTGGAATAGCTTCCATCTGTGTACACAAGAGACTGACTTGAAGCGCAACTGGGTGACTGTGGCTAAAACTGGAACAAACTCTTAATGCAGCCAGTGCCAAGGGAGTCTTTTCATCTTTTAAAATAATTTTAAATTGCCCTCTTTTTGCAGTTGAAGAAAGGTAGATGTACCCATGCCCTTCTAACATCTGCTTTCTAATCCTTGGATCAAAATGAATTGTCCTTGTGTTATAGTTTAAAGCAGAACAATGAATTTTGCAGTCGCTGCACAAAAGAACCCAGTCATAGCCCTCAGAAGAGATGGCTGGCTCCCTTCTTTAGCTGGGAAGGGCATTCAAAGGCAATGGAGGTGCTTTGCACTGAGAACTGCATTGTTAAATCAAGGGAAAGAAATTCCAAGCCTCTCCTTGGGCTTCTTTGTCCCCCTCTTCTCTTTGCCAAGTTCTTGCTCTCCTGGATTCAGCTGAGCTAACTTACTGCACAAAATCATACACAGAATCCCTCTGCCTGCATCCTGGCTTCCTACAGAGGAAAACCACTGAATGGAATTTCTCTATAGAGGTTTAGTTTTTTCTTAGGCTAACAGTTGTTTTACAAATATCTGTAAGTGCTCTGCGAAGAATTTGCATTATTCCCAGTTGAGTACAAAAACCTGTGCTATTTTTACTGTTTCTTCCCTTTGATCAGAAAATGTTGGTATGATAGACAGGTATTCTCCACTTTTCCTCAAGAAGGTTACCTCTTGGAGCTTTTCCTTCCACGTGCACAGCTTTGTTCTGCTGTGGCATTTTTTAAATGAACTGAGTGCTGCTGAAGGCATTTGATTTACAAACCAGGAGATTGGAGCCATCTTAAGGGTCAAACTCAAACCCTCTGAATCTGTACAAGGGGTTATTTCATTTGACCTCAGTGGAATTTTTGGAATAGTGCTTTGTATGAGAAGGGGCTGCCTGATCTCAGAGATGCAAGTGAATTATTTCAGTATGAAGCAGGTAGACTTAATGTTTGAAGGAAGTCAGTAATGCAAAGGCTTGTAAACTGGTTTCTTTTGAGCACTATGTGATGCTTTCTCTATAGCATAGCCTCAGGTTCTGTGGTTCACTTAGTCTACCATCTCTCCAGGGAAATAATTGATGTAAATTTTGGCAGGAAGAGCACAGGTACTAGGGCTAAGGTCCACCGCTTTCTTTTCAGTCTCCAGAAGTTTAAGCTGAGGATCTGTTGATTTAAGAAAACTATTCTGACACACAGACCTTTCCACCACAAAGTCTGAATTCAGTTTTGTCTTGCTCATTTACAGGGATAATACACTACTGTAAGGTCTCTGTAGCCCTAAGATGCTTATGAGCTGAAAAATGTGCTGCAAATAAAACAGCTTTTTCTTTAAATTCTCATCATGCTCAGTAGGTGGGATAAAGGCCTATTACCTCACATTTTCTCCATGCTATTTACTCCCTTAACAAAAGGATGAAGTTGTTAGCTACTGTGTCTAACTTTTTGCATCTGAAATCCTGTCTTCAATGTTAATAGCACTCTCTTTGCAATCTTCCTCTGTCCAGAAAAGAATGTTGTTTCTTTTATTCTGGTACAAATTGTCTTGCCTCCTACTATTATTATTGAAACTGAATGCAGTCCTAGGAATTTGTTGCTCCTTGGCTTTGTCAAGTACATTTGTTTGTAAGTTACTTTGAACCAAAGTTTCTAAAGCACTTCCTTTGAAAGTCTGGCCAATACTTGCCATTTTGCAGTCTGGGTGAGACTGAGGGAGTAGAGAGAGTGAGATAGCTTGTCCAAAGGCAGAGTCAGGAAAAGTTCCTATCTCTCCTTTGATTTTGTTCCAACTAACCCATGCTGCTTCCATGATTTCAGGATTGGTCTATGCACAAACGGTTTACAAATGATAAATGTAGCCCGCTAAAGGGCAATAGCAGAAATATCCCCACAACCCAGGGAGCAAGTCTTAGTCCCTTTTGGACACACTTTATTCATTTGTGCCTTGAGAAAATTTGCCCCTCATTTCATTCCTGAAATTCTACTCACTACATGGCCATGACTGACTGCTGAGCTGCTGACTGGGGTCAAGACCATGTCTCTTTGGTAATGTGAGGTCAAGCCAGCACAGATACTTCTGTGAGCTGTAGCTCCAAATTGACATTTAAGTAAAATATTCCATTTTCCTTGCCAGCTGGAGCAAGCCCTTGTTTTCAGCTCATTTGGTATTCAGCACACCATGGATTTTTCTAGGAATACCAGGAGATGCTGATTGCAAGGGGCTGCCTCATAGTAAGAGGGAGACTGCTTGGGCACTAAAGAACATTCTTGCTCTCCCACTCCTTGGAGAATGTTGCTCCCTGCTACAGCATATACAATCCTATTTCGTGCATGACGCACTGAAAAGGGTAAGTTTTAACTGCTATTAGATGAAGGGATGAATATGTGAGAGTGCTTTTTTTTGAATAATAGCTATATGAGGACTTGCTAATTCTTTTCACATGGGTCATCAAGGAACCAAAATGCAGTAAATCACATTCAGCTGTGTGCACACTACATCCCCTCTCTATGGTCTGGACTTGGCCTGGCACCCTAGAAAGGAAGTATTGCCCTGAGCCACTGGAAACAATATGATAGATTCTTTCTCTGTCTCTATCCTCCCCATCCCCTGATGTCGACCTCCCAGATCAGGACAAGGGAAGCTAATGAGAGCAGTTTGTTGCAATGCTGACTAATATGTACTTATTCTGGGAATAAACAGGAGGTGCTTTGCTTTCATGAGGGGTGAGATTCATTTTTGGATAGTCAGACAGCTGTAGGTCTAGCACTAATGGTTGTTCTCCATGTAGCCCCTCCTAGCATGAGTATGGATATGTTGTAAGAGATTGCTCTTGAGTCTTCTGGGGGGCTGGAATAAAGCAGTGCCGGTGTGCTTGCTGGCCTGCTGCTGCTCCGGAGCTAACTTTCCTCTTAAATGTGCCAAATGTAGCAGAGAGATCCATTTGGAAATAGCACTGAAAGTGAAATTTAATGATGTAACAGTGCTGACTAAAGGGGAGGAGGGAAATACCAAGAATAATCCATGGAAATAAGAAAATGGTTATTTTGTCAGCTAAAACCTACCCTTAGGAATGCAGCCACGTACTGTGTGTTATATTGCAACTATGCTTTACAACTAAGCATCACAGCAATTAAGGTTGAAAAGAGGAAAGAGAGGCTGAGGTGATTTAACAAGTGTATTGTGTTGTGCAAATGATCCAATCCTTTATGCTCTACAGAGTCTCTAGTTAACCACTGTGGATTTTTATGAAACACTCATTCCCTTCTGATAGCTGTTTAGAGACTACTTTTTCATGTAACATTTATTGTATGCTTACAAGATCTCAGGATATGCATCCCTGATTCCTTGCATAGAAAAACCTAGCTTCCTACAAAGGAGACCTAGGTCCTGGTGACTGCTGCTAATGGCAGGAAGACAAACCAAAGTCGGTTCTGTCCCCTGCCTTCCTCTCCTATTCCCTATTACACCATATGGCTTCCCTCAAACTCTAATGTGTTCCATTGCATTTAGACACTGTGTGGAAGGGAAGGCAGGAACGTTTTTCTCTCCAAATATAGTCAGACTGACAATTCTAGCTGTAGTCCAAACCAAATATCCGGACTTGAGAACTTGAGGCCTCCAATATTCTTCAGAGTTCTGAAGTCACAACGCTTCTCTGCCCTTGTATGAAAGCAGTCCTTGCAGGGGCTCAGACTGTCTGATAAAACACAGACAATATTTTCAACTATTGGAAGAGCCAGAAATAAAACCTTAGAATTTTGACTACCCTCTTGTCCTTGGCGCTTGGGCTTGCGCCCTAGGCAACACAGGCTCCTAGAAATGAGCCTTGGGAGTTATCTGAAACATCTGAAAGGGGCTTAAATTCTGGGAAGTGCTATGACTCTGAGGCCAGTGAGGGCTGCATCTGAGAGGCCTTTGAGCCCGGGTATCTTTTGGGAAAGCCATGACATTCTTAACGCTGGGCACGTAACAGGGATAAAATGTCAATGGATGTGCACACTGTTAGTCTTCATAATCCTTAAAATATCTACAGAAGAGAGCTGTGCTTGAAATTTAACGAGCACACTATTAACAGACTAAGTAGATCACCTGAACTTTTTCCTCTTTACCAGTGGCTACACCTGAGAATTCCAGCCAGAGCTTGGGCACCAATGAATCCACATGTACAGTGACTTTCTCAGAAGCATTGTCAGTGTGCACAAGGTTAAGTTCATGCATCTCTCTCGACTCCACAAACTTTGTTTGTAGATTTTGAATACCCCAGCATAAGAGCTTTCCTCGTCTGACCCTGCAACAAGTGAAATTTGTCTTGGCATTACTGCTGAACTGGTTTCTGATGAAATATTTGGCTTAAATTTTAAGTTTCAAAAGCATTCAGCAGCCAATGGCTTAGTGAAGCTGCACTCATAGACACTGAATCTTTATGTGGATGGGCACAGTGCACTGCCTGCAGATGCAAGGGAAAAGGAACTATCTGCTTTCGAAGAACCCTGTTCTGTCACTTCTAATCTACCTAGACAACCTGCTTTCTACCTTGGTGAAGAAGCAGGACCCTAAATGGTACAGAGGTCATGAATTCTCTGCAGCTAAAGATTCCCATTCATCCACCACATGTGGCACAAAAAGGGAAATGGCTAACACACAAATACAGAATACTGTAGCTCCTGTGGAAAACAGCTTGGCTGTGCTAAACTTCAGTAGCTGCATGAATAAGCATTCAGAAACAATGACATCCTCAAGAATGTGCCTTTACTAAAGCTCTAGATCCCAATTTTTTTTGTGTGTGTGTGGGGGGGTGGAATCTGGGCCAGGATATATATTCCACAAAAACTTTTACTTTCTTTACACTGAGATAAAGGAAACTCTCAGGTTCCTCAGGCTATGTGGTTGTGTGAGTTCTAACTTCATGTTTTAAACTTAGGTGGCTGTAGTCATCTTCAGAAACAGTAAGGCACTAGCTGGCTGCTTGGAAGACCTAATTTTCGGTTCCTGCTCTGCAAGACTTCGTGCCTGATCTCAAGGAAGTCTTTTATCCTATGCAGTGCTGTGCTTCTCAGCCTGTAAGATGCAGGTAATAGCACTGCCCTACCTTTGAGGCTGATGTGAGGATAAATGCTCTGAGAGGCTGTGAGATACTCAGACACGCCGGTAAAGAGGAGAGGGTGTCCGTATGAGTGGATAAGATAACAGTTAAAATCTTTTTCAGACACTGATGACTCTTAGAAGCCCTGTGAAGGGCAGATGCACTTAGTGTTGTTATGCAGTTGCACAGCTGAAATTTAATGTTCTTTCAGCAGTGCATTTACAGTTTTTTTCTTTTGTGCCAATACTACTTTAGTGGAAAAGAGCTTTTGGCCAAAGTTTTCAATCCCTATTCCAAGGCAGCTTTTTATTTCAAGACTCCCCTCCTCAATCAGTCTTTCTGCGAATGTGTTCTTGTCTACAGACTCTGACAGCAACTTTTTCAAGTGGCTTAAGACATTGCTAAGTGTAACAATGTATTGTTGCTTGGTTCTCATTTTATACTGTGGTCTACAGCTTAAACCACAAATGGAGGTGGGTTTGCTCTAGTCTTTGGGGCTCTGAACAAAGCAGTTGTTCAGAGTGCCTGTGCCTCATCTTTCATTCTGCCAGCTGTGTTACTGAGGAAGGAGGCCTAACTGCCCATAGAAAGTTGCTGCTAATAGCTGAGATGAGCTAATGTCTTAAACTACTGTAGCTGACTGCTTTGGCCTGTAGGAGTTAGAGCCCTGTCTCGTCTCCTTGCTTCTTGCTCTTTCTCTTCCTCCTAGTTCCAGTTTCCCTCTGTAATTCTGCCCGTAGCTTCCTTCCATGTTGCTCCTTATTCTGTCTCCCCTGGCATCACTCAACAATTTCTGCTGCACTTTGTCCGGTCTCTACGGGAAGCACATTGTTTCTGCTGGGGGAGCTTTGTGAAAATTGAAAAAGAAAAATGTTTGTGAAACTATATATTGATTCTTCGGTCATATTTATTTTGAGCTATTTAAAAGCTGTAGGTAAGCTTTAGTTTGAAATGCATGAAACTTCCAAAGTGTCATAAATTTCATTATGAACTAGGAAAAAAAAAATTCAAGTGAGACCATTTTTCATTATTTGAGGTGCAAGAAGTTTCTGATTTTCAAAGGCTTCAAATATCCATTAGGAATGTTTCATACTAACTGGTAACAGAGCTAACCCCTCCTCGTTATTTGCTTGTGAAATTAGGGGATTGCTCAAAATTCCCTTTTCTTCTGTCTGATCAGAGCTGTTTAGCTAAGGGCACCCCAGCTCAACAGCACTGGGATCCAGTGCTCAGCAGCCAGACAAAAAAGTCCAGCCAGTTCTGAATACCTCAGCATTTCTGTGTAAGCTTTTTTAAAAGCCCTGAATGACTTCACGTCCACAGCTGGAGATGCCTAATTGCTTAAGCTAAGCTGACCACTTTCCTTCTCCAAATCAATGATTTTGGGGTGCTCAAGCTGAGGTACCCAAAACCAGCATGATTCTGAAAATACTTTTGTTTGCCTTTCTCAGCATGATAACCCCGTACTGAGTAGCCCCCAAGTTCTGTTGGGATTTGCAGGAGTTGCTTGCCAAGTTTCATGGAGGAGGGAGTTGATTTTTACTTTTATCTGAGCTTGTAAATTCCCTGACCAAAATCTCCTGAACAGAGAAGCCCTGCCTGTTCTAGCACAGCATCTCATTTTTCATTCTACTCTTGAAGACAGCCTCGGACAAATGACAGCTCTTCAAACATTAAGCATCCCTACATGAAGCATTCCAAGGGTGTGATGCTGGCTTTTGGATTCCTTTTACTGCCCCCTCCCCCCAACTTTTTCATTACATAAAGCTGACAACTGCAGATTTGTCCTCTGTTGATATACAGCCAGTTAAAGAAAGGAGTTCATGTCCATCCCAGCTTGTTTCACTTTGCTGTTTTTCCTCCGCCAGCCCAAATTTCAGCTCCAGTAATATGATACCACTTGGCAGAGGTTAAGAGAATCTTTGGCACATTGGAAAGAGGCTTAATGTAAAGTCTACTTTTTTTTTTTTTTTAAGAGCTTTTTGAAACTCTAGCATTTCAGCACAACTTTGACAGTAACTGCAGGACTCCTCACAAATGTTCCAGATGCAACTGTGAGCAAAAGGATTACCAATGAATGCATTCTGTGAAGTAAATGTCTTAGCGTTTCTCATCTCTCTCTAAAAAGCATTAAAGAACAACATGGATCCAATAGAACAATTTTCTGCAAACAGAAAGAAGAGCTTCCTCCCAGCAGACAAGAAAAAAAACAATGGTTATAGATCTATTGTGGGATTTTTATGCATCTTCCCTGTGGTGGCTTTGTTGGCTATTGTGGGAGACCCAGCTGGAGCTGCAGCTCAGAAGAGTCAGGTAGGGGAAGGATCTATTTCTTAGATGCTTGGAAGGGGAGTGGGGATATCAAGTGTGTGTGTGTGTATGCTTTTTAGAAGACTGGTAAACTCGGGGAGCAAGCTAAACAATTTGAAAATAACCGTTAAGGCAACAAGATCTATTTGTGTCTTATCTGAGTCCCTTTTTGCAAAGGACCTTAAAGGGAAATGAAGTGTCTTAAGTAGAACCAGGTCGTTAGAGATAAGCCTGCAGCTTGCAGACAACTAAATGGTGAAGGTACAAAAGCTTTGGACTGTTTTGCTTCAGAGCTTTGGCTATCCTCCTAAGTACCTCTGCTTTCCTAGACTAGTATGATGTGGCATGCAAATATTCTGGTTTCCTTAGCAGCTGAGCTTTCCTAGGAACTCCAGAGGCAGGGCTCTTGGTATAAAATCCAAAATGGGAGTTAATGCTGGACCTACAGAAACTATTAGCTGATGTTAGCTCTATTTCAAGGTCTATCCATTAGCAAGATATGCTGGGGCAAATTGGGATTCAGTGGGAACTAGAGCAAGGCTCTGGGACTCCCAAAAGCTGATCGTAATTTTACTGCTATGTTAAACCATGAAAAATAATCTTCTCTAAATCCTTACATCCTCTCCTGCTGTTTGTGCTTATGATGATCCTGGCAATAGCATCCCTGGTCTGCATCATGTACTCAGGGCTCTTATTAAAATGGTTGTAAGTCATAGAGTTATGTTACTATTTAATCTGAGAGATGAACTGCATGGCCAGGGGAGAGAAAGAGAGAAGAAAGAGCTACAGTCGTTACAACTCAACAGTCATTACAACTCAATGAAGTAAATTAATGGAGGCCAAACAGACAAGCAGGCTGACTGCACAGGGTAAATACTGTAAACTGGGATGTTGACCAATATCTGCCTTCATGGTGCTTTGCATATGTTGGTCTCTCTTGCAATAGTTAAAGTTGAAACAAATGTCCTTTTCCTAATACGTTCCAAGCTTTGTGAATATTCAAGACCCTCCCCACTTCCTCCTGGGAGTGGCTGACCTCTACTCCAGTTCTGAATATTCTCACAGTCTTGGCTACTGGGTCTTTAACATGTAGACAGATTCTTTAATACAAATTATACTGCATATTTTTTATCTAGATCATTCTCATTTCAGTCAGAACCTTAAATCTGGCTAGAGCGTATATGTGGTGCCCAATTGTTCAAGTCATTTTTGCAACATGTTCTTAATTAAAAGCATCCTGTTGCATCAGTTGTAGGCAGAACAAAGTCTACAGAAAAATGGAGACTGAGCAGGATGTTTGAGCGAGAGAGCTCAGCCCTCAGACACAGGTTTCAGTGATTTCTGTTGGGCCTGTGTCACCCTTACCTTGTTTTATATTTTGAGGATAAGCTCACTGGGGACATTTAATTTTCCCCTTTGCTCGTTCAGCGCCTATGACGTTAGGGTTTTAAGCTCAATGGGTATAAAAAAAGACGATCGTTTTTCCCTGTAGGGACTACAAGAGAGAGAAGTCAGCAGGCTCTTTCTGTCCATCTAATTTTCCGTTCCTGATACCCCAGAGCTTCAGGATTTCACCCTGTGCTTGTGTAATTTAATGGCCCAGTGGCAGAGGAGGCAGAATGGGCGGAGTGCCCATTACTCAGCCTGTGCAGCCCATGGCTCTGTATGTTATCATAAAGTGGAAATGGCAGCAGTTGGGCTGTGAATTACAGAGGCCAGAAAGTAAACGTGCTGCCTGTCTTGCTAGCTTTGCTAAGAAGCAGGAGCATTTATCATAAGGATAGACAGCTACCTAAAGGTGTTAAATGTTACGTTATCTCATCATAAGTTATCAAGTCTCCTGTGTCAGAGCCCCATAGACTGACTGAGAATTCACGATCCTAACAATCATAGACTATTCCTGAACAATGCCAGAATGAATATGTGATCAGCCCCAATACTGACAAGAGATCACAATGAAAACATAAAGGCAAAACATAAGCAGATAGGATTTGCCTAATTCTACCCTCCTTGGAAGAACTGCAAAAAAGGGAAAATAACTTATTATCCTATAAGTATGATGTAGTCTTCTCCAGGCTCCTTTTACAGCTGCAAGAGATGGTTTATACTTCACTGGCTAGCAGATCCTCTACGATGTCAGCACTGCTGAAAAGGATAGGAAATTTTCCTTTTGTATCAAGGGAAAATAGCATTCTCAGAGTAGAATCAGAGGTAAAAGCCACTGGAGGTGAAGGGAGAGAGACAAAAGTCGGTGTATTTGCATCACATGAGCCTTTGGGAAGAAGGGGCTAGGCCTTGAACAGTGAAGGTGTCAAGAAGTATAGGTTCCTAAGCCAGATCCCTTAGTACAGCGAAGTAAGGGACAAACATTAAAGGGAAAAGTGATCCTGTATGTGCTTTCAGGAGCAAATCAGCATCTGAAGCCTCCCAGGAATGTGATCAAACTGCCTGCTAAAAGCTAACAGATGTGGAGTGGCACACATCAGTTTTGCAGCTGAGAAGATAAAGCAGTGGCTAACATTTCTCTGTCTTATAGGTGAGGCTGCATGGCCCTTGAATTCCTTACATTGAAAGGATCTAGTGATTTCAAATCATTGGTCAAACCCATAGCTGAGCTCGAAGAAGACTGAAAGGCTATCTTCCTAGAAAAGAAAGATAATGAAGTTAGAACAAGGTAGAAGCTCGTATGCCTCACGGACAAGAGCAAGAGAGACTGATTTCCTGTTAGGAGGGTCTCTCAGTCTTTTACCAGCCATGACTAGCTATAGTCACGGAGAGATGCTAGTGATCTGAGCAGTTGTTCCTTCTGGATTTTAGTACTTTCTTGTCATTGACTTACTGTGAGACCAAGGATATGCTGTTTTGCCTCTCAGAGCCTCAGCTCTTCCCTAAGTAAAACGCAGACAGCCCTTGTCTTCTGTAGAATGTGCTGTGAGGCTTAACAAACTCATTCTGGTGCAGCTTTAGTAACATTGCCACTATACATATCACTTATTAAGTGTCTTGTTGCCTCTGGAGCAAAGATGACCCAGAGACATTCAATGTCTTAGTTCTGACAAGGTGGGGCAGAACAGATAGACAAGAGGTTCTGGAGAACCACATTGGGTGCCAAGCTTCTCTCTCCACTACTCAGGACTAAAAGGCTTTTGTAGTTTCAGTCAGTTTTGTAGTTCAGTAACAGTCAGGCCTGTTTTGGAATTTGAGGTCTTTTACTGTATGACTACTTTAAGTGAACTTCAGGGTTTCCAGGGCTCCAATTTATTTTGAAGGCATTTCAGATCCATAGTCCAGCTTTATAAAGAGCTCTCAGCACAAAGGGATGCCTGTTTAACTCACATGTCCAGTATTTCATTTTTTCTGTGGTTAAGCTGGAGAGCAATAGCAAAGTGAAAAGGAAATGAGAACTTTCCAGGAAGAGTTGCAGCACTCACTTTGGCCAGAAGCCTGTTGAGGCCTCATTTCTTTGCTCCATCTGTGCTGCGCTCTAGGAGGAGAGAGGACTGACTGCACTGTCCTATCCTAGAATTATGTGGCAGTTCAAGGGAGCCTACAGCACAGATCCTCTGTGATCCAGCGTTGTGGAGTGCTGCTCCCTTCCTTTTCTTGCATGTCTGATCTAAATAATGCTCCAATAAGTCCTTGCAGTTACACCCTCTTTTCTTCCCTTTTGGTTTTGTTCGCTACCCTCAGAGCAGGCATACTCTGCAAAGTACTGACCAGCTGATGCTGTCTCCTGGACACCCATAAGGGAGGACTAGTTGTGCTCCCCAGCTTTCGAATGCCCCATACCTGGTAGTTTTTCTTTTACACTGTTCAACCCTACATTCTCTCCCATCTCTTTTAACCTCCTGTTTTGTCTTTTAAGGAAGATGCTACATCACCTGGTCTTTATGGAGTGAATGCCTCTCCTTTGCACAGTCCAACTTTCCCACCTTCACCTCCAGCACGGAGAAAACGATACACAATCACACCAGGGCACTTGAAATGGGACCACTTCAACTTGACGTACAAGTATGGACATGTCTTAGCCTAAGAGTTGTCTCTCTCTAAGTGACTTTGGGGTCTGAGGTTTTTCTGCTATGGATATGGGTACGAGCCGTATGGATATTGCTAATCTGGTTGTTAGTGAGTGGCTAGCTGAGAATCTGAATGGAATCTAGGATGTTTTTCTACCTATGCTACATTCATCACCTCAGCTGTGGATCATGAGCAGTAGCCTCACTGCATTAGAAGCTAGTAGCACTGGTGATACCATCCAAATTGCCTGCATGCTGAGAACGCTTATGGCAAATCTCTAGTTGCTCAGGGATATGTTCAGGCTTCGCACAGACAGGCTTCCCAGAGCTGGGGGCTTCCCTCAGAGGGTAGTGAATTGAATACCAGCTCTGTCATGCTGGTATTTTAAAAAGAGGTCCATATGAACCTGAATCATCGTTAAGGGAAATTGCTGTTGAAAGGTTCCGTGATTTCAGGAGGATTGAGCTCTGTTAGTGGTGAATGCTCTTAGGAATCTTTTTCTCTCTGTTGCTTTAAGGAAAGGACGCCAATTCTCAGATTGCTAACAAACAAACAGTGAAAAGCCGTTGGCAATTTTAGGATGAGTGAATCTGGATGAGACTCGCTAGCATGAGTTAACCCTAGTATTTATAGATGTTTCTGCCCATGAAAATGGCTATCCAGAATGCTGATTTCCAACTGGGTATACCACTCCCCCTCCCCAAGCAACCGCAGCATTTCTACAGTATTATAGAGTTATAGACCAATCAGATTTTGACAGGAGAGACCTATGTAAATGTGCAGTGCTAGTACTACTTTCCACAAGCAGACTGTTCAGAGCCAAATTTGATGGCATCCCATGGCTTTTCACATTTAACTGTTTCTCATTGCTGTCTGGCTCTACTGCTACAGCTGTCATAAGGCAGTGTCAAATCCTGTTTGGTGCTCAGCCTTAGAACAGCACTCTTCCTGATGTCAACAGTGCTGAACAGCCCCTGAAACTCTCTGTGCAATTGGCTATAGTGGCAGCATCCTGGAAAGAGGCTTCATTGGGAAACTATTTAAATGCAGGTTGCTGAATGTTTTTCAGGAGAGCCAGCATGAGCTCAGACAGAACAAGGTCCAGGGAGTCCTCGTGGAACCAGTTTGATTAGATGAGCACTGCCCGATGGACTCAGACTGTCCTGGTAAACCCCAGGCTTGCAGGAGCCTGGTAAATCTCAGGCTGTTAGAAGCCCTGGAGTTTGCCTGAAGAAGCCTGTTGTTCACCACCTGGCCAACAGCGCCACATGCCTTCTGGGGAACACAGGAGCCAAATCAGTGTTTGTTCAATGTGTTATATGATAACAAAGATCCATTTAATATGACCCCCCATAACTCCAGTGTCTTCTGACTTTAAAGTACAACAAACCCCAAACTGACCTCTCAAAGGCGCAGCAACCACTAACTGTTAAACAGCAGTAGTTTGAATGGCATGTCATATTGGATTTCTGGAAACACTTAAAAGTGTCCTTCTGGCAGCAGAAATGTGTTGCAGCTTCTGCTTTGCATTAGGGTGAAGATATCATTATGGAGCTGTGAGGGTCTTTCTCTGGGAAGCTGACCCAGACTGTGACTGAAATGGATGGGAAAGTTTTCTTACACCAACAAACAGGAAAGGAAGGTATTTAGAGCTATGTTTGCAGTGGGTTAGCCTGAGACAGTGGAGGATGGGGGAGTAGGGTGGGAAAGAGGGGAGATGGACAGCAGCAGTTGCTTCAGTCTGAGAACTCTCTTCTAATCCCTTTCTCCTCCACAGAAGCAAGATGGGGAGAGTATTTCAAGATCTCTAAGTCCAGGCTGATGCTGCCTGCCCCCCATCTAGCCCTGCAGTTGCCTCTATTCACTAGGTAGCAGTTCTACCATCAGTCACACAAGTGTCTCATAACTGTCACCTGCCTCATGTGTGCACTGTGTTGTGGTTGTTGCCTTGTCCACTGGGTGATGCTTCAATGTTGACCAGTAAATCTACGCTTCCTGCTGGACCAGGGCTGAGTTCTTCCTGTAAGCCCAAATAATCAGTGGGTGGCATGAACCTGCCTCCTTTGCACTGAGCAGAGACCGTGCATCTCTTTAAAATCATCCCAAACAGGCTAAGCTTCATAATAGTCTTAATTGTCCAGTTATCTATTCATTAACAACCTGACTTGATATGAAACCTTCTGCTCCCTTTAGGATGTGCTGGAATGAAGGGAGAACAAACAGTATAGCTTTTTAAAAGAAAAAAAAAAAAGCAAGTTTCTAGGATCTATCTGTATAGCTCTATGGTACAAACAGTGGTTCTGCCATCCTACACTAGTGGTTTTCTTACAGTGCAGCTGTATGTATTCCTGTGGCCTAACAAAAAAAAAACTTTAGTCTCTCTCCCAAGGGATGGGACTTTTCAAAGTATTTTTTTACTTGTTTTACTATCAAACCTTTGATATCCTTCAGAGCCCTCTTTCAAAAGCTCTGCCTGAGAGTATTATAATTCAGTGTTTGCACACTGAATTATATTACATATATTGCATTTATCCTGAGCGATGTGAATAGGAATTACTTAATCTGCTGCTGAAATGCACTGCTTCCTCTTCTAATAATGCTGTACAGCAGATTGGGGCTAATTTAGGAGAAAAGTGTTTTTCTAAGAGAACCTTGTCTAAAATTATGTGCTTGAGGTAGGAGAAAAGCTGTAGTCCAGAACATGGGATTGTAAAGAATATCAGTAATATCTTAGTCCTTGGGGGGATTTTCATAAATATTCTTCATTATACAATCCAAGCTATCTCTGTTTGGAACCTGTTAGAGTGAAAGGAAAGACTTCATTGTCTGCTGCAGCCTTGAGAGCCTTGAGCTAATGCTTGGGGAGGGAATAGTATCTTCCTAAAATTCTTCTCTGTCTCAACAGAATCCTGTCCTTCCCAAGAAACCTCATAAATGCCAGTGATACACGCAAGGGACTAGCAGCTGCATTCCGAATGTGGAGTGAAGTTTCACCATTCAGCTTCAGAGAAGTGCCACGTCATATAGCTAGTGATTTGAAAATAGGTAAGAGCACATGGGGTCCTGCACTTAACAGGATGCTGTTGCGTATGTCAGCTCCACGAGGGACTTTTAGATTTTTCAGTATATGACCCAGGAGTTCAGAGGCAGGAGATACTCCTCCTTTGCTGTGCAGACTCAGCAGGGACTCTTGGACAAGGATCTGGCCATCATCTGCCTTTAGTCAGGTACAGAAACTACTTTTAGTTTTTGTGGGGTTAATAGCAGAATTAACACTTCCTCTGAATCTTGCAGCTGAGAAACTTTAGATGTTTGTGAATTAATCCTCAAAACCTGCCACTGGGACAGGATTATCTCTGTTCCACAGATGGGGAAACTGAATATTGAAAGGTGAAGTGACTTGCCCAAGGTCACAGAGAGCCAGAGATTCCAATCTGTTTATGGATTAAGTCTCCCTTCTGTTGATCATGTTGAAACACCACTTTTTCTCTCTTCTCCCCTTCCTTCTGCCCCCATAGCACTATGCAGGCTTACTGGTTACTTCATGAGTCTCTCAGGCCTAGAAAAACAGTAATGCTGAGGTGTTATCATCTGTTCAGTCTCAACCCCAGATGTAAATTCTTCTTGTGATTTGTGGCCTGTGAGAAATAATTATTTCCTGCGCAGATTGCAGCAATATTGAGACAACCAGTAGATTTTCCATTGTTTCGCAACATGTTCTTCAAGCTACTCTTACGTGCTTTTAAGTGGTGTCATGCGATATGCCGTCCCAGGGGCTTGTCCTGCTGCCACATGTGAACTCTAGGTGGCCCCATTCCAGTGGGCGTAGGCTGCATTGTGTTGCTACCTGACCTAGCACAAGGATGGCAAGCATCTATATCTGTAAGGATGTCTGTTCATCTACATTTAACATGGTAGTACATAATACATCTTAGGGCTATAGTCTCACTGCCCAACTCCTATTTAAAAAAAAAAAAAAAAAAGTTTCCACATGATGTTGCAAAAAGAGCTCAGCATTCCTTTCTGACAGGCAGACTCTTTTGTGTCTGTTGGAGACAGCTCTAAATCCAGGGTCACCACAAGGCTGAGACAAGTTTGCATCACTTAATCCTCATTAATGACAACTGCTTTGCATTTATTTTTCCTTTCGTACCTCTGTGGAGTGGAAAATACATGGGACACCATAAGAAGAGATTTATTAGTAAACCACAAGTTTACAGACGGCTGTGTTCTGGATGGGCTTACACTGCTAGGTACACTAAATTTGCTTCCTTTTTCACAGGTTTCTACTCTATCAATCACACAGACTGTTTGGAGTCTCTTATTCACCACTGCTTTGATGGAACAACAGGTGAACTTGCCCATGCATTCTTTCCACCCAATGGGGAAATCCATTTTGATGACCATGAATATTGGATATTGGGGAATACCCGGTTCAGCTGGAAAAAAGGTAATACATGTTTCAGGGAGCACATAATGCCTGTAGGATTTAGATTTTTGTCCTTTTTCTGGTTTACCTAGTATTGGAAAGAGATAACAGAAACAGCTGTGCTTTTTCTGTAGTTCTGGAGTTTTGCTGCTCTTGCTATAATGTGACTGAATTGCTGTCAAGGACTGTGTTTGTTGGCAATTCCAGCTGTTTCTGATAATTCAGTGGACTCCAGCCACATACTCAATAATTAGGGCTGGCTTTGGCCCAAGCAGCTGCATCTCTGGGAAGGGCCATGTTATGTTGCTTTGACTTGCAGCCATGGCTGTTTACATTTTCATTTTCCTGGGTCAGTAGTCCATTTCAGGTTTGTGGGTACCTTAAAGAAAACATCTGTGTTACTTATGGCTTTGGGGTTGGGGGGGGGGGGGGGGGGGGGGGGGGGGGGTAGTGATATCAAAACTAACCTTAAATTAAAAGCAGATGGTCCCTGACTAACTAGCAAACTCAGTTCATATTATATGACCAACTTTGTATTTTTTTAAAAGTAGGGTATTTCGCTGTTCATCAAATAAAAAGAGAGGTGGAGAAATTCAGAATGGCCTAGAAGGCCCACCGCCCCCCCTTGCTTTCCAAAGCACAGCAACAAATAAGAACATGGGATGAAGGTCAGGGAAGGCCGATTTTAAAGCAAGAATGTCAGTGTCTATTAAGAAAATAACTGGTCAATGTGTATTTTGTAAAATATTCAGCTTTGAAAAGATGCCCTTCGCCATCAAACTACTAAATGGCTGCTAACTATCAATGGTAGTGTGTGTCAGTGATAATGAAGATCAGACAGCTGTAGTTTATCAATGCAGTATGGTAAAAAACTTATGTCAGCAAACCACACAGTTATCAGGGAGCAATATAGTTCCCTAGCCTGTGTTATTTTGCAGGCAGCTGCTGAAACAAGCATGGGCATTTGCAAAAGTTAATTCTTAAGTGAGGTGTGGTTTTTTTTTTTGTTTTGTTTAGTTTTTTCCCAAAGACTGTGACAAAAATCAGAGACCTGACTGCCAGTTCTGCAGTTGTGCCACTGACACTCACTCTCTCTCTCTCTCTCTCTCTCTCGGTGCTGTAACGCCACTCTTTTATGTGGAGATATTTATGCAGGGATTTGCATATCCTTCAGCTACCTTTGTGAAATAGCAATAGCACTTCTGACTTCAGAAGGCCATTGGGAAGTCGTGATTATTAATCCTCGTAAAACATTGACCGCTTCTCTTCCCAAAGAAGAACAGGAACAAAGTAAACTGTAATTAATTGTTGTTCTTCCAAATCACATCATCAGTGCGATTTAGCCAAAAAAAAAAAAAAACTTTTTAGCACCCTAGTGCTAAAATATTTATTTCCTCTGTTTATGCAGCAGGGTTAGCAAGTGTACGTCACTATGCAGTGTCAGCTGATTTTTTTTTCATTTTTCTTCCAGGTGTTTGGCTTACAGATCTGGTACATGTAGCAGCTCATGAAATAGGACATGCCCTAGGACTTATGCACTCCCTGAACCCTAATGCCCTCATGCACATCAATGCCACGTTGACTGGGAAAAAGACCATCTCTCAAGATGAAGTCTGGGGAATTCACAGACTTTATGGTAAGGAAGGCAGAGAACAGGGTTGCGCTCTGGGCTTCTCTGTATAAAGAACATTTGACTACAATGTCAGGCAGATTATGACACGCTCTCAGGGTGTTAGTTCCTCATCTTGTGACAGGACTAAACTGTAAACCTGTAAGAATTAACAAGGAGGAATCTTAGTCCTTTTAATGCAAAGTGAAGCTAAAAGGAGGTGAGGCAGGCAGTCTGTTTCCAGAACTAGTAGCTTCAAATGAGATACATAGCAAGCTAATGTAAAAGGCTAGGATACCATACACTAAAATGGTTTATAGATTTCATGCTCCCACCTTGCAAGATTGCGCTTATGAGAGACGTTTACCTGACCCAGTGAAACCTGAAGCCCTCAGACTGCTCAAAGCAGCTACCGCAGAGACACAAGTACTGTATATGGTCTCATATGCCTATCTCATTATGCCCCAGCTCAGCAACCACCTCTGAGTGTGGACTCTTTGGGCCTCATTTTTGTACAAAAGCTCTTCCAAGAATAAAAAGCTCATTTTAGCCATGGAGGGCCCTGACTTGTTTGTATATATCTGCTCACTTCAGGTGCATGCCAGGAAGGGAGAGGCTCCCATACAGAGGAAAAGAGAGAGCAAACAGCTGTTTGGCTGGACTAGGATGTGTTAACACAGGGCAAAGTTCTCCACAGACCAAACAGGGTGTGGCACGAATCTCTCAAGCTCAGAAACAATTGCCTGCCACTCCTGAAACAGCACCTCTTGTAGGATTTAGAAAAGGCAACTTTGTGCCATCACTGGTGCAGCTCCATGAAAGGACCTGGGTATCTAGCCCACTGTTCATATAAAACTGGCATCCTGCTCTATTTATCATACACCCATCCCAGCGCTGCCATTTACACTGAACAATCTGATGTGGGCAAGGCATCACTTTGTTTCTCAGAGGGAACAATCTACCCCAATTCTGCCTAATACCTTGTCTCCTTCTGTTTTAGGATGTAAAGACAGATTATTTATGTGCCCATCATGGGCACGAAAAGGTTTCTGTGAGAAACGCAGGAAGCTGATGAAAAAGCACTGTCCATCCACCTGTGACTTCTGCTATGGTATCCTGCTTTTCTTCTGGGATTTTGGCAGGGTTTGCACAGAGAGAGGAGGTAATGTTAAGCAGTATTTGCTGTAGGGATAGACAGGATCTTAATTCCACGGTAAAGATCAGAGGATGTAAGTGACTAGCCCCACCCAGCTCTGATGAGAAGTATAGCATACCTCTGAGACAAGATCAAGCCTCAGAAATAAGCAACAGCCTTTAGGTATAAATATTTGTGGACTAGAACATTAAACTGTCCCAATCTTCTCTAGTTTAACTAAACCAATGTTGAGGAGCTTCTGAAAAAAACTACTACTCCATATGCCTCAGACTGCTTCCCTTTGGGACTGAACTGAGAAACTGAGTTGCCGAAGTGTTAAATTTGGAGATAAGAGATGCAATACAGTACCCAACGCAGTGATGGGAATGGAATAAAGCATATGAAATCTCAGGCCCAGCTGGACTTGAGCTGCTCTGGAGAAAACAAAATAAGAAAAGCATGTTATTCATCTCATTTAGTCCCTTAGTTCTATGAATCCAGATAAGGGGCTAATACAGGATCAAGGTCAAGCTACTGCAGATGCGGGATTAAGCTTCAAATACCTACTGACCTTAAGATGATGATGCACCATATAAGTAGTAGCTGTCACCAGTACAGGGGTATTTTTTAGTCCAGACTAATGTTAAAGCACAATTAGATACAAACACCTGTATTCTCTGGGATTATTCACATACCGAAGTTCTACCTCTCCAAGTATATGAAACAGTGGCAAGTTGCTTTTTATTCATCTTTGAGTTTACATGACACAAGAGTTATCTTTGCATATAAACAATGTCAAATGGTCAGCCAGAATTGCTCAGTAAGAGGCATTTTTTTTAAATTAATCCCTTTAAGGTTCCTGGGGTGATGGTGTAATTCTGTGACAGCATTTTGGGATAACTAAGGCTTGACAATGAAATATGCTAACTTTTGCCATTTAATTCTCTCAACTCCGATGGACAGAATTCCCGTTTCCAGCAATCCCCTCTACTCTGCCCCCACCAAGGACAAAAACCAAGACTGTTTCTGAAGGCAGAAACGTCACCTTCCGCTGCGGACAGAAGCTCATTCATAAAAAAGGCAAAGTTTAGTAAGTTCTCTGTCATTTATTCCAATCCTCTAGGACACTTAGCTGCTTACATACCAAAAAGGAAAAAGAATGAGGAAGCATGACAAAATATTGTGTACCTAAGAATGCAGTTTACCTTCTGGAGCATGTGACTGTCCTTTATCTGGCACTCAGTAGAAAGAGAGGGGTGAGGAAGCGCGCGCTAGCTGTGACATACAGGATGGAAGAAAGGACTGTGCAAATATTGTTTATAACATTGCAAAGCATTCAAAGCATTTAGTCTGAAAGCAGAGCTATCAGAAGTGAACAAGCTGAACTGAAAAGGATAAAATCCTGTTCACATATATAGCATAAGGACAATTCTTACCACTCGATCAAATTCCTTGGCCTATATTCTGCAAAAGATGGCAGTCTTAAATGTACCCATTCAGTTAATAATTTGTTAGCTCTTACTAACATATAAGCATGTAATTTCTGGATGTGTCTAAAGCTGCTAGATATAAGTGCTCAAGTCCATGGGTCAGTTTGGCCTGAGGGCCCAAATTCCCATTGACTTTCAGTAAGATTCCAGCTCTTACTGTTAAAGAGTTTAATAAAATAAGCTAAAGTTTTCTGTACATTTCAAGTAGCCAATGGGGATTATAACAGGGTACTAGCCACTCTGTGCTGCAATAGACTTGGTTCAAGCAAAACTTACCAGCACAGAGAAGGACCACTAACATATTGCATGATACTGGATGTTTCACAATTTAATTTCTGTTATTTTTCTTATGACAGCTGGTATAAAGATAAGGAGCTTCTGGAATACTCATATCCAGGTTACTTATCCTTAAATGATGATCACATGAGCATCATTGCAAATGCAATTAATGAAGGAACTTATACTTGTATAGTAAAGAAAAAAGAAAGAATCTTGACCACTTACTCCTGGAGGATCAGACTGAGGCACTAACAAGGGCCCTGGAATGAGAACTTCAATTATTGCTAGTTCTGTTTCAAATTCAAAAATTTTCTTTAGCATTTTGTATTTAATCTCCAGCAGTGCAATCGAACTTTTAAATCAGTTGCTTCCATAACTTGGCAAGAGAGACTCTAGGACTTCATTTTTGGAAAAAGCTTTTCCAAGTTACTTTTAATGGTTAAGAATTTATCAAGTATGTCCTGTACAGGTAGAGAATTAAAAAAAAAAAAAAAAAAAAAAAATCAAGGGTCAGATTTTGCAGTTAAATGACCCAGGTCACTGCAGACTGCTGAAAAACAATAACAACCCCCCCCCCATCAGATAAATGGATCAACAGATTGATGGCTCAACTATGTTGTAACGGAATCAGAGGTACTGTGGAAGAAAAATGACCAGTTAATACTCAGTAAGTGTTTTGCTGTCTTTTTTTTTTTCTCAGATCTTGATGAGGGTCATTAAAAGGGCTTTTAAAAAAATAATAATATTACTTTTTCTTTTACTTGACAGAAGGAGGATACAGGGCCACAATAAGCCTTTTCTAATTACTCCATGCCCTATTTCAACATGTCCAGTTACTTAAGTAGCCACAGAACATCTTTACATCTTCCCCCCCCCCCCATCTGCTTTCCTGTCATATGCATTTATTACTTGGTCAATATACCATATACTATTTACCTTCATCTGCAGCTCCTCATAAATTGTCCTTTAGGTGTCTGATCAGTAAGCCTCTGGATCCCTTCTGTAGAGATAAGATCATTTCTATCACTATCCTCACCCCCCCCATCACCCCAAGATGAGGTAAATATGCGACAGCGGACAAGAAAATGGCAGTAGTATTAGTGGGCAAAACCAAGTGCACTTAAACATCTGTATCAGTGGAGCGTTCATTTGCACAGTCAACAGCCCCTGACAGTCATTACATTTAATGAGAAACTCGAAAGAAAGGTGGAATGATTTATCCTTAAGTCCTTTTCAGTTTGCATAATGCCACTTGGCTGTAATGAAACTAAGCTACTTTAGCACTGGTTGAACATCTGTCTCAGAAACTAGCCTAGACAAGCCTTAGTATGTTATTGCAGAATAAACTCATGTGGACAATGACAGATGCATCCCTGCCTTCAGATAATGTCTTTCATTGACTCAAGAGCTAGAAAGGGCCTCATCAGTGCAAGTGGAGGTTTTGACCCAGGTAACAGTTTAATTCAGTCCAGTTTTTAAACGACTCAAGAATTGAGCTTTCCACTGCCTCTCTTGGCCATACCAGAGTCTAACAGATTGTGCGTTAAGACATTTTTCCCAATATTAAAGCAGCCTAAATTACTCTTTGCTCAGTGTCACTCCTTTTTAGTTGTCCACTTAACCTCTTGCAATAAGTTTCTCCCTACTTAACGAACACGAACAAAACCAAAGCATCTCACAATGCAGTAAGAGACAGCAGTCTAGGAAGACCTGTATTAGAGCAGAAAGGCTCTATCAGTAAAACTCTGCTCTGTCCCAGGACAGCAAAATTGCAAGGGAAAAGAGAGAAACTAGTAACAACAGCGGTTTGCCGAGACAATTGCAACGGTGGTAGTTTTACTGGCAGACATCTAGCACAAACTCTGCCCATCTTTGTTTAACGGACCAGAGCTACACCACATCGATCTGAGCATCTCCTCCCAAGGCAGCTCTGTCTTTGGGATTTGGAGGAGAGGAACAAGAACAATCAGCTGATCACTGTAGCCATCAGTAACTCACAAGGGGATGTCACCACTTCAGCTGCAAGGAGGCCTAATCTCTGGGCAGAACCAAAGTCCTTCATCTCACGTCTCACTACAGTTTAACACTGGTTTTTAGACATATCATTTCTGATAAACAAGGTTCATACAACTTTTCTGAATCCTGCTTATTAATGTTGCAGTAACCTGCCAATTATCTCTGTAGCTCTTTCCAACTCTCTGATGGCGCCTGGCAGGCACTGTCCAAGCTGGCATTTGGAAAATAAGTGAATGCACAGGCAAAAGTGGAAGCAGAGGCAGAGGCAGAAGCAGAGTAAGCACTGGTTGCCAAGGACTGCTTTGCCACAGACATCCTGCAAGACGTTAGCCACCTTCAAAGACTGGCTGTTGACCTGAAGGCAGGTGGAAGAAACCAAGGAAACATTGCAGGTTTAATACACCAGGTCACAACCCAGCTCTGCCACCAGAATGCCATTCACACAAAGGGCATAGCACAGCACTCAGCATTCAAATCTGCTCTACGGTCTGCAATTTCAAGGCTGCCTGGTCACCCTACAGAATCTTCAAGAAACTCAGGAAACAAAAAGCTTGAATTTCTGTAAATAAGCCAAAAAAAAAAAAAAAAGAGCCTTCTCTCTTCCCATGCACAGGAAGGCTGCATGTTATAGAATCATTAAATGTTAATGATGTCATAGCTCCCATTTGTTGAAATGCTGATTTGCTGGTATGGAAAACACTTCACAGATCTGGAGATATCCTCAAGGTAAGCAAACAAGCTGGCTTTATCTTGGATTATAATCTGATTTTACAAAAATAAAACCTGAAATAAATCAACAGCAAAATAAGTACCTAAACTGCAAAAAATCCTGTAATGTCACCATGCTCTCATACAGTGGAATTTCCACTTTGGTGTAAATGATATACTTCTGCAATTCTTCCACACTGCTGAAATCAATTGTTTAAACAGGCATGATTTCAAACTAATTAATTAAATACTGTAATACTGTTCCTGGTGAAACTGACTTATTTAACTTATCTTCTCTCCTCATTTGCCCTTGCATACGATTAAAAACAAACAATTCCCTTATCACTGTCAAAATTCCAGATTTAAGTTAGCCCATCACGGAAAGAACGTCTCCCAATTGTATATGAAAGGCCTGCTTAAAACAGTTAAATACCGATAGTCATTGCTGGTAACGTACAATTATCATTTAGGTATTTTTATCCCCTTTCAATTCTCACATATTTGTTTAGCATGAATAAATAAGCTTAGGCTTCACCTTTACCATCACATTCAGCTGAGATGACAGGGTAGTAAAAAAATTTAAAAATGCGTCTTTCATATGGACAATCACAATCAGGATTGTAAACTGCAAGCATTCTTTGCAAAAATAGACATTTGAGCCAAAATAAAAGCTGAGATGCAGCAACTGAACAATGCTGCTCTACTGAGGAAGAGCCGATATTCCTCTTCTGTGAAGAAAATTGGAATTACACATACCTCAGAGCCATATCAAATTCTCATTATAATCCAGCATTAGGGTTGTTTTTGCCTTTTTAAAACTGAAAACATCCAACTTACTTAGATAAATAATTATTTCCTTTTGTCAGGGAATCAGACCTTCCATGAGTGATGTCCCTGCTGGCTGCAACAATGCCAAGGAAGTTAGTAAGGAAGTAACGTCACAGAGTGCAAGGTGCACACCAGAGCTTGGAAAAAAAAAAAAAAAACAGTCACATTTTTAATCCTTCACAGTTTATCACAGGCCATGGCAAAATGGTTCTTCTGCGCTGCAGTCTGTGGGATGTAGCAGAGAAACTGCTTTTTCATAGGTTATTGAGCTCTGCATATGATCATCATGGAGGAATCTCACAAAAATCATGCACACTTCAGTAAAAGAGCAGTAATACAACTGTTTCTACTCCAGTATCAGGAAATGAGGCCTAAACAGAAAACAGCTCTGTCTCCCTTCATAGAAGCACCCTTTTTTCAAAATTTACAATTTTAGTATATCTAAATTCCAGTTCCAAGGCCCCGATGTCCAGTAAAATCTCTTAAAATGCACTGAAGTCAGTGGAATGTTTACTGTTTAAATTAAGCCTTTTACTGGACTGGTGCCCAAGTCTGACTACGTGAATACCCCAATATTTGGCAGTATTTTCCAAATCTTCCTGCCCCCAAAAAGAATGATAGCATCATAAATTAAGAGACCCAAAAGACACTGACATTCCAACATGATTCCTCTTGTGAGAAGGAATTTGAATATGGCATTTTATATACAGTCAGTACAACTAATCTCTTATTTTTTTCTTTTAATGGAAAAGGGATATTTAAAAGAAATTCTATAGGAAATAAAGTTTCAATTCTCCATAATAAATCTTTTTTGATGTATAAAACAATATATTAGTCCTTTTGCACCAGTACCATTGTAAATACATGTACGTGACAACTCAAACAGTGAAGTGGTCACTCAAAAGCGCACTCAAAAACGTTGTCAGTGACTATCAAGCACAGCCTAGTCTCTGCAAGGCACAGAACAGGAGAGAAACTTCAGCAGCGTCATGATTTCTTGCCCAAACAACTACCTTCAGCCACATAAAACTTATGAAAGAAGTTGTTTGTCTGGGCTGACAATATGCTAAAATAGTTTAAGCAGCAGACAGGGAAACAGACAAAAAAAAAAAAAAATCTCTCAGAGGTTTCCACTCTAGAAGACTTAATGCCACCAACATCCAAGTTTTCTGCATGTGAGGAAATGAAATCCTTCACACTGTTAAACAATTAAAAATGTATTTTAATTCTACAAATTTACAAGCAAAAATACCCCTAAAAACAACACAAAAAAAAACTGTTCCAGGATTGTACTTCAAGTTTTCCTTTGTCAAATTTTGTAATGATCCTTGGCTTTTCAGGTTCATTCCAGTCCTCTAAATGGAATGCAGCAGTTATACTCCACACCCAGCAAGAGCCTTTTAATCTGTGATGACATTTGGTTTTTTTCTGTGAAAAGCATCTAGTCTCCCTGATGTGAAGAACAGAACTGGGGGCACTCAAAATCCACTCACATGAACAGTTTGGGGGTTTTTTTGTTTGTTTGTTTCTTCATGGTGAGTTTAAAACTTGAGGCTGAATCCAGGTCCTGCAGCAGATGCTCCCTGATTTGTGGTGGTCAGATGAAAACCTGTATCTTTCAGATCATCATCGCCCTGTGAAAACGAAACACAATTCAATTATCAGCAAGTGTCAATGCACATGTATTCCTCTCTCCAACACAAAAAGTAAAGCCAAAAAAATTTGAAGTATCACAGAATCACAGAATCGTTTAGGTTGGAAGGGACCTCTGGAGATCATCTAGTCCAACCTCCCTGCTCAAGCAGGGTCACCTAGAGCATATTTCCCAGGATCACATCCTTAGAAGAGAAACAAGTGTTTGATTTAGTGGCATCATAGCCAACTGTGATGCAGTGTTATTCAAGTTATTTAAATATTGCTTTTTTGTTGTCTTCTCTAAGGAATCTCAAAATACGTTCCTAGTTTGTATACCTACTTTTGACCAAGAACGTTAACGATGAAAAAAGGTTGTGAACACAGTGGGTAAACCAACGCATTCAGCATCTAAGGAAACACACTCTGCATACCCTCCATTTCATTTTTTACATCCTCAAAAAAATCAAGGCTATACAAATTTTAGGCTATTTCATCTGTAAGCTGGGCACAATAACTACTGTGCTATCTCATCTATGCTGAGTCATAGAATCAGTAATGAGACGTTGATATAATTAAGGCACCTGAGATTGTAACATGCTATACTTAGAAGGGCATCTTTTTCAGCCAGGTTTTTTTCAAACTGGGAATGCAAATGGAAAGAACACCAGCCTTGCCTTTTACAGCTTTTTCTCTAATACTGGAAAAAGCAAAAAGCTTCCATCCACAAGGCATATGCAACTTGCCAGACTTTGGATTTTTTTTTTCCAAAAACAAAAAAAAAAAAAGGAACCTGCAGCTTTGAAAGCTTAGCTGGAAGTGTAAAACAATATACACTTTCAAAACAAAAATTGCTCTAAGACAAAGTATCACTCCCTTCTCAGATTATGTATTGCAATCATGATTCTATGAATACAACAGTAGTTGGATCAGCCGTTTGAGAAAGACACTACAGAAGTCTAGCTTTCGCTGTGTTCTTTTTTTGTGCAAGCAGGGGTGATTCCAATGATTCCAAGCCCCATAAGACTAACAGAATCCAATCTACGTCAAGTCTTCCAAAAGCAGAACGTGGATATGGATGAGGACAGCAGAAAAGTTTATGCCCAACTTTCTCAAGTCACTATACTTACCAATTGACTATATCCAAGGCCTCCTTCAGGCGGTCGTGGGCTAGTGCCACGTTTCACCCTTTGTTGTTCACTTTTTGCTGGCCACGTGGGAAACATGGAGGGGTCAATAGGAAGGGGAGTCTCTCGGAAATACTCATGCTTCAAACCATCTTCAGCAGTGATTCTTCTGGCTGGGTAGTATGTCAAAAACCTGAGAAGAATTTAGGAAGGCAATGAAGTAGGGGAAAAGAGAGAGACATGGGCAGAAAGAAGATAAACCTTAGCCCAAAAGTATAAACTCTTCAGAAATGCTTTATTTTTTAATAAAGAATTTTATTAATGAACGCTATTGGTGATAAATAAGCTATCTAACATAGCTACCTGATTTTAAAATCATGTTTCCTACATGAACCTATAACTAATGGAAGTGTAGCATGAATATATTTTTATATAAATATTTATAAATAAATGAATACTTTTTTTTTTTTTTTAATAAAAGCATGAATAGCTTTTAGAGACCTGTTCTTTCAGATTTAAATTATTAGGCAACTCAGAGTCTAGGGTTAGTCAGATATAGCTCGAAGGGGAGCAAAGATGGTTCAATTAAACACTTTTACAATGCTGCTGTTTTTTTTAGGGGAGAGCGTATAGATACACCACATATAATATTGTAATATAATGTAATTTGACTATGCAGCTTGTGGTTGTCTATTCTAAAACTTTCACAATACAGAAACATGTTTTACTACATTGTTCATCCTCCTTAACAGTATATGGTCCTGATTTTGTAAATACTTATAACCAAAATTTGTATATGTAATTAGTTCCACTGACTTCAGTGCACTTACTCACGTTCTTCTGCAAGATCAAGATCCACAAACATACAGTGTGTTATCATTCCTACCCAAAATAATAAGGACATAATGCTGTTGTAGCCAAAGCAATTAAAAAGTAGATTGACCCTTATCTGATACCCATCTTTATTAAAACAAGATGTGTTTTGACCTTCTGGAAGGTTATCTAACTTTCAAGACATTATTCATGATTCATTCAAAAACCAGGGCATCAGGGTTTTGGTTTTTTGTTTTTTAATTACATTCAATGGGTCAACAGGTACATCTTAAAAATCTGTAATTAAGAATAAAGACATGTTCTCAATAGCATTTGGAACTCGCATCAATCTTTTACACTAGTTCATGGCATGAAACTTCAAGGGAATATTAGGGGAAGGAAGGGAAGAAGGTCTTTCAAGCTACTGTTGACCTCTTTGAAACAACTATGAAAAGGCACTGGGGCCCACCAGCAAAGGTAATTACAAAAGACTGGCAGAACATCAGATGTGATTTCATGAACTCTGAAAACCTAGGTAAAATTTAGATTGGTATTTTCCTAATTCTGTAATAGGATCTCAGAATGTGCTGCTTTTTTTTCCTTTTTGAATTCGGTCATACATAATTTCATTGTTTTAACAAGATCCATCAGCAGACTGCATGATAGTTGACTCACCACGTAAGTAAACGTGAGTGACCTAAAATTACTACTGAAGCAGTATTCTATTCTTCTAGGATATCAGTGTGCAAGAATAATCTGGAACTGAGGTAACAGCAGGTGTTAAAGACTGTGGTACACTGAACAGAGCTGCTGGAAGAATGACGAGCTGCATTGCAAGAAAATATCACAGGCAAATCTGAAATGCGTAAGCATGTTTTGGCAAGAGGTTAAATTCGCTGAAATACCATGCTTCAGTCATTCTCCACAACTACCGTAGCATGTGAACACATTTTCCGCGATAGCACTTACTAAGATAGCACTTACTTGTTCATCAGATCAAACCCCTGATCAGAGAGGAGCGCTCCAAATCTCTTGCGTAGATTGTTATAGGGATACTCGGTGAATGTCATCTTCTTTACAGCTGGCAGCTCATTGTAACCAGGCCAGATTTTTTCACTTGGAGTACCCAGGTCCTATAAATTAAAATATCTTGAGTGCAGCTTTCCTGCTTATTCATTATATAGCTATGGGAATTGACAACTACCCAGAGAAAACAAACAAAATACAATCCGTGATCTTATCCCACTATATCTACTGTAAAGGGCTGAATATTTTGATTCTTGTTTATTAAGGCTGAATCTTTCTCTGAAAGAGTGGCAAAACATTTTTGTTTTCTTACTACCCTCATGCACCTCCCTCTAAAAATAATCAGTTAAAATCCAAAGGTGTTAAAAGGGTTACCTTAAAAACTTTGTTAATCTGGTCAATTTCTGATTTCCCTGGAAACAGCGGTTTCTGAGTTAACAGCTCTCCAAATATACACCCTACTGACCACATGTCTATTGCCGTTGAATATTCCTGAAAAGAGGAAATATGTTATACATTATAAAATTAATAGATGCTTTAACTGAGTAGTTTTTAAGAGGCTACTACCCTGTACAGAACACATACTGTCATTTCAATACCTAAGGCACAGCTGCCAACTGTACTTATTTAAAAGTCAAAGTTACTGCAACTTATAAAATGAGTAATACCACATACACAAACACTTCCGGATGAAGCATGAAATACAACACAGTGCAGCCTTTCTCCTTCACCCATGAACAGAGCGTCACGACGAGCATTTCGCACTTAAACTCTGAGCCCTTATTTTGCTGCCACAACCACCTCAGGCTGTGGACACAAAACCTGACCCTCCACGGTACAGCTCTTTTCTTAAATACAGTCATTTCACCTGTCGTAAGAACACAGTATTCTGTCAAAGAGGAAGAATGAAATAAGATCACCCTTAGCATAGGGCTTCTTTGACTTTTGCCCTCTTTTTTTTTTTTTGTGATCATGCAGTACTTTCTTCAGGTGTGGTTCTTGTCACAGAACCCTACTGATTTCATCCAGATTTCAGTTATGAAACCGGTAATCAGTAGAGAACATTACCAAAATGTTTCCAGCATCTTGTTCTGCTCTTGGACACCACAAAATTTAGAGTAAGGTGGAAAAAAATCCAGCTGCCTAAGGTGACAATGAAAGTTTCCAGCAATCCATGACAAGAAGGCAAGTAGCTCTACCACATCAGCATTCTAAAGGAAAACACTTCCATCCATCACCCACCTACCCTCTGTCTCTGAAAGCATGAACCTTTACAGCTTTTTTATTAGGAGTAATAAAATTGAAGTTCCACAGATTTCTATCTCTAAATTTAATATGAAGAGTCAATCATACTTGTACTCTGTTCATAAATTATAAAATAAAGCTAGTCTGAAAAGTCATTACTCTAGCTCCCAGAGGAGCAAGGAGAAACATACCTTCGCACCAAGCAACAACTCTGGAGCCCTGTACCAAAGTGTCACAACTACAGGTGTGTAAGGCTTCAGTGGAGATCCATATTCTCGAGCTAGTCCAAAATCCCCAACCTGAATGAAAATTAGTTATCAGCAATATTTCCAACATTGACCATACCATTTTCCAACAGTGCCAATGTGTATTGGCCATATTGGCTACTGTGTGGCCTCCAGTCTTCAAAAATAGCTGTAGAGAATACACGGTCTTTTAGGGGCCTTTCTTTTTTTTTTTTTTTTTTTTTTCTCCACCCAAGGGGGAGAGATCACTTCCTTCCAAAGCCAAGTAAGAGTACTTGTTATTGATCACCTTGACAGATTTTTCTCTGTGTACTAGAAGGCTTATATGGCAGGAGGAAGAAACAAAACCAAACAACATCATAAGGTGTTGACTTCAACCTTGCAAGTTGAAAGAACACTTAACAACACTTGAGAGCTGTAATAATGACAATATACAGTTGGTGTCTAAAATTCAGAACTGAAGAACTGAAATGTTATATCCTGATCCTATTCATATTGTTCTTCTAGATTTTCATAAGACGACAGTGAAAGGCTAGATTTTAAACATGCAACTTTTTTAAAGATTCCTTCTTTGTAAAGAGAATGTCCAGCTCCACCAATAACTGTACACTTCAGCACTACTACAGTGATTTATATTATTTATTTATTAAGCCTCACAATCTCTTGAGCAACCCTAGTTCAAACATTAAGGGGCCAAGACAGAAAGACATAAATGTCACCATCAGAGATTCAGTATGCTGCATCACCAGGAAGAGAACATTGATAATACTTGTACTCATGCCACAAACAATTCAGTCTTCACTAGACCACGCTTATTAATTAGTCACAACCTAGCATAAATCTTACAGTTGTGGCAAGGCAGTCTCTTTATCTAAAAGTAAAGTTTTACTAATTTGCAACTGCGATACACGTGACACACCTCATACTTCTCAAAGACTAATGCAAAACATTCTACCCAACTCTTAATATAGCCGTAATGCAATGTAATACTGCAATATAAGCTTTTTAAGAAGTATGGCACATTTCACGTAATCCTTACTTTTAAAATGCCTGAATGACTAAGCAACAGGTTGGAAGTTTTCAAGTCTCGGTGAAGTATCCAGTTGTCATGAAGATGCTTGACTCCTCGCAGTAACTGAATCATCAAGGTTTTCACTTCACCTGAAGTGATAAGAATAAGCCAAAATATATTTAAAATAATAAATCTCCCTTTAATTTTTTTTTGTTTACGGAAAGAAAGGGACATCAATTTAGTAGCATAGCATAGACTCTACCATAAAAATGTGTTGCAGGACAAGAGTGGTTATAACCACCTGGCTGCCAATAGAGCAGCATGAAATTGGATAGCTGGAATACAGCCAAGTAATGCTAGGAAATTAATGCCTCTCAGCAACATGGGAAGCGGCCAAAAATGGAACACAGCGGTCTCTTCCAGTCTAGCACAAGGGAAACTCCTCGCATCTGATGCCCAATTGCACCCTGAACACGTGAACTGGATTCATGAGCCAAACATTACTACGAGTAACAGCACTGCCAGCCTACTATCCTACCTTAACCTGGATCAGGGGAATCAGACTGGACAGAGAAAAAGCAATAGAGACCTCATTCCACAGAACACTCAAAAGGAAATTCCAAGGCATCATACAAGCTAGTTCTCTATTGTCAGTAAAGCCCAAAGATGCTGAGGTCTTTACAGGTCAGTTTTTGAGCTTGGGAATTACAGGAGACTGTGGCAAACAGTACCTGGTAAAAATGGTTGCTTCATTGTTTCCATTAGACTCTTGAGATCATGTTCTACATAGTTCATTACAATATAGATTTTATCCATATTACTACCTACAACAATTTCCTAAAACACAAAAAACAAATGATCAAAGCAAGCACATGCTATTTAAAAAGCATACAAAAATGAATTTTAGAAATGTACAGGAAATAGGATAAATGGTACCTGCCATTGGTAAAATTCACAGAAAACTTAAGACTAGCTGCCCAAGACAACAGTTAATTCTTGTAAATGACCAGATTTTGTAGAGACAAACGACATATGTTTAGTTTTACAGGTAGCATATAACTGCTTATAGAAACAAGCTCTGCTAGGAACGCTAACATTTTTGTAAGGTATTTTAGAAGCCAAGAGACAACATTTCAAGAAAAAAAAAACTTTTAAAATAAAGGGTTGGTGGCCTTACTCTGACAGTGACAATATTTGGATGCTGTGCTTTCAGAATAGTATTTATTTCTCTAAGAGAAGTAATGGGAAAACCTTCCTTTTCCTTTTCCATTTTCAGTCGCTTCAGAGCCACAATTTCATCTGCAGAGAAAACAGAGTTATTAACTGCTGACTCCACATAGCTAATAAAATACATGTGAAGAGGGCTCCCCAGTGCTCTGTCACTATTTATTTGAATGGAAGCCATTACTCAGATATTATATCTAACTAAGAGACAGAGTTAATCTGACATTACCAGCGTAAAAAAATAATAATAATTGCCAAGTTTAAGGAAAAAGAATAAGATTCAAAATAGAGATCCAGAACCGAGAGGAAAAACGCTGATTATGGATTTTAGTGTATTCTAAGATAACTCACCTGGAAAGAGACTAAAGAAAAAAAGTATTCAACTCCAAAGTCCTCACCATAGTTTGGCAGATCAGGTGTCAGACAGCAACGCCTCAAATGCAATTCACCTCTATCTAAAACCCGACTCAAAATCATGGTGCTACTCAAAAATATTACTAACATGAATTATTTAACTACAACTGCTTTCGTATGATACTGTAGAGAATAATGGGTATGCCATTCTCAGAGCAGACCCCACGACAAATACGGAAAAGAAGTAGCCGTCTGTGGTCACTGCCCAATAAGCGAGTGAACTCAGAGAAACTGGTATGTCAGCTGTATATTTCACTCCTCAAAGATGATGAAATGGTGGCACTTTTCTAAAATAAATGGAGAAACCAAGGCATCCAGAGTTTAAACTTGTCATCAAAATCATAGCTCGTCACTAGGAAACTGAGAATAACCATAATTTGTGTCTAGACCTGCTTTGCAACATGTTTTCTCTCTAAAGCTCTCTTCACCCTCTGTCAACTCCTTAAAATTGCACGTATACAACTTATACTGCTACAGTTCCCCTCTGAAAACCACCACCTTGCAGGAAAGTAACATAATGCTAATGATTGTAACACTACAGGGAAATCATTATCAGCGGCAAAAGAACAGTCAGTACCTTGCTGTACGTTATCGTTTTCCAGGGAAAAACAATGCTGCGCTAGTGTCACAATTTCTGTTAAAATCTCAAACTAAATACTTCTTTCAGTTGAGAAATCACCTCGGAAGAGGAATACACAAGCGACTTCATGTTTGGCTCTTGCAATAAATGCAATAATTTCAGCAACACCTGCTATTAAAAGTCAGATAAACAAGCAAACAGGTTTTATGTGTTTTTAAAATATAGATCCACCTGTATCCACAAGAAGTGTTTTTGAAGAGGTAGCTTTCGAAAAAGTGAAATTTCTCCATACAACAAAATGCTGTGTCATACACTCACAGCACACATACCACTGCTTTTATGAATTCTCTAATCAATAGCTGTACTTACAGTAACACCTAGTGGCCTGCTTACATCAAATCAACTGACCAATCAACCTGTTAACTATCTAGCAAATGACAAGCAATAAACAGTTGCTTTATATCAACTATCACGTTGATAGTTCTACACAATTATGGCCAATACAGAAATTACTTCTGACCTTAACTAGCTGCAAGGGAAACCCTTATGTCAAAATCCACATCCATTAAAAGGGATAGCTTACTCATGGAAAAAAAGAAGGTATTTCAGACAGATTTTCCTTACCAGTGCAAGATACAGAACCATAATCTGCTTACAACTGCAACTCTAAATTTATATATAAGACAGGAGCAGAAATTAGCCATATGAAAAATCAAGGCAGAAGATTGATAAAAGACAGAGTATCAGTTTTGTGCTTAAAATGCAATCTGAGAGCCAAGAAACACAAGCTATGTTTATCACTCTACCCCAGACTTCCTGTTGTACTCCTTGTATAGCTACCATGAAGTTTAATTTATTTGAATTCACAGAGCTCAACTGGTGGTCCTGGAACAGAATAGTCTCCAAAATGCAAAACACACTAGATTCAACTTGCATACAGTGCTTATGCTTACCCCTCAACATAACTGCTGTATACACTCATTCAATATAGCAAAATAATTACCAGTTCCCTCTGCAGAGTTCAGAACTTCATCATGATTCTAAATCCACCTCATAGTTTCACTGAAGTTTCATCTTCAGTGAAAACTTTACACCTTGGACATGATATCTAGCTTTGGACTCCCTGTGGCTCCAAATTTTTTTACAGCAACAAATACAATGTACCATATCCCCTACTGTACCACCACTTTTTTTTTTTTTTTAAACCTTTTCCTCATCTTGCTCCCTTCCTATAAAAACTTAAATTGTCTACCGTATGTACACTGTAATACAAAGTAGTACAAAACAAGTACACTTGTTTTCACATTCATAAAGCACTCACCAGGTGAGTACCGCAGAAGGCTGATTCCACAGTTTAGAGTACAGGCAAATAAGTGCATTCTCCAAACTGCAGGTCCCAAAATTCATACTGATTCTCATAAATGACAACAGCATTCATGCTAACATGGGTCTTGACTGAAATGTTTCTTACATTAGATGACATTTAAGTCATAATGCTTAGTTTATACCACAAAATACTGACTGGAGACCACTTATACTAACCAGTCTTTTTGTCTTTTGCTCTGTAGACCACACCATACGTTCCCTCTTCAATCCTGTTCAAACACTGAAATTCCTCCACACTACGACACCCCTGAGGGAAAAAAAACACACAGATTGACAACATTTACTCTTCAAATGTCTGTGGAAGGGTTTTGCTTATTTGTTTTAAGAGGACGAAACACGGACTTCAGCAACTTCCTAGGAACAGTTAGAATTTACCAAGAAAATTCTAAATACAGCTATGCCAAATGAAAAAGGCATCTCAGGGGATTATTTTTACTTGGATGTCTAAAGAATTCCTGGACAGAGTCTGTGTCTCAGTATAACTAAATTACTTCATTAATTCCTCACTCATTTCCTTCTGCAGAGAATAAAGTGAAATTTTGGTCTCAGTGGCAAAGTCAACTCAGCAGCTTAAGATTGATGCCTTGTATATAGTTCAATTAATACAAAAATGCTTTTTGTATTTTCTAAACTTTGCTACTAGCTGCAGAAATAATCACCTCCTAATTTCTATTCTTATTAACTAAATCCTTCTTTCATCAGTATCTATTTTTAGATAACAAATACCAAAATAGCACAGTATCAAATGTATTACATTCTTATCTACATCTAAAAGAATCATCTCATTTTTGTTCATTTTTCTACTTGTGAAAAATTAGCATTATTTCAAATACAAATGTATATGTTGTGATGTGGAGTCAGTGAGGGATATTCTACCCACAAACTCTCTTATGCCTAAGTGCTACCGCAAATACATGTTTATCACGTTAACAAAGCCGCTAGGGAAAAATCCATCTGCCTTCTGAAGCATCCTCTAAGCGATCCTCTACCTGAAGCGCAGGAAGATACTTAGGAAGCTCTTGTTTCAATTCAATGGGGGAGGAAGCTGGTGAGTCAGGAATATAGTCTCCTTCTGTCATTGCATTGGAATGAGGGGTACCCTCCCCAACTTCCTCCTCTTCTCCTTCACTTCCTGACTCGGTCAAACCTTGACTCTGTAACTTTAAAAGTCAGAATCAGTCATGGAAAGAGGGAGCCATTTCTAGTATTTAAATTCAGCTTTAGACAAATAACAGGTGAAACTTTGATCCATATAAATGGGATAGTAGCAAGGTGCATAAATTATGCAAGTTAAGTTACTGTAACACTAAATATCATTGAAAACTTAAGAAGCCTAATTTCTCCTCTTTGCAGAGATGAGGCTTTCAAGAACTCCAGTTTACAGTTATTCAGTCATTTCCAGAGCTAAACACTGCATGTTGGAAAAAAAAAAATCTTTACAGAGAATGCAAGAGAAAACTGACCCAGTATCTCATTCTGACTGTAAAACTGTTTGATGAGAGGACAGGATAAGAGATCCAGTATGAAAAAGAAGGAAACATTAGAGAAATCAGCTCCTAGTCTCATGAGGTAAACATGGGCCTTGGAAAAGATTGTGGGGAATTTCTCACTCTGACTTGAAACTGGGGCTTCCTCTTCTCTCTGCTTCTCAACTGAGAATGGCCAGAAAGTGCCAAATACTCAAAGCTTTAGAATGACAGCAAAACTGCAAGCACTAGATAGATTTAAAAAGCTAAAGCAACACTTCAAAAATTCAATATTTGCATTGTACCAACTGGGATGTGGTTTCCATTCTCCTGTTCTTCCTCTTCACTCATTTCTTCTTCGCTCACCTCTTCTGCAAAAGAGAGTCAAGTACAACTGAAAAAATTCAACACTTCTCTAGTTCCTTGCCACACAGATCATTGCTAAAGTGCTTTTCTCATTCGGGGGATGAATTTGCCAAGCCTTGTTCAGCACTGTCTAGTTAGCGAACCCTTACTTCTGTTTCACTTGGAAAACAAATGCTTCCTTTCTAACGCAACAGAACTGCATCATTCAGCTTCCAGCAGGGAATACAATTCTTATCAGTGCCTGGGAATTTAGGGTGGGAGAAATAAATTAATTGGGTCAAGAAACTTACGCGTATTAGCTTATTACCTTTAATTGATTTTTAAAGAAAAATATCCTGCCCTCAGACCAGGCTGTTGCGCCTTTTCTTTTCTTTACTAATTAATGATTAAAACAGCTAAAGTAGATTTGTTTACTAATCCTTCTTTATTATGTTCAAATATTTGCAGTGACTTTAAAAAAAAAATCTGATATTTGCATTCAAAATGACAGACACATTTTTATTTCACACCTCCCCCCACCCCAGACAATTGTGGAATTGTTCTCTACAAAATATTTCTTACTGTCCAACATAAAATTATTTAAACTATTGGTCTTACACCATTTAGGAAGACAAAAACAGCTTTCAAGGTTTCTAATCTTGCTTCTTAGATGAATAATTTGTATTACCTCTATGTAAAAGGACAGAATATGACTTGTACTTGTTTTTTTTTTTTCCTTTTTAGTTATCTTGACCTGTGAGGTCTCAGCCTATCCTAGACTAAGAGAAAAGGAAAATGTTGAAGTAAAACAATACAAGATATTGTAGGAAACTAAGATATGCCATAATGCATTATTTTAGGACCTTTATGTTACTCACCAGCTGACTGCTCAGACACTTCCTCAGAATTGCTTCCCGTCTCCTCTTCCTCCTCCTCTTCCTCTCCCTCTTCCTCAGATCCTTCACTGCTAGACTCTTCTTCCTCTTCTTCCGAGCCTGATCCAGATTCTGTCGAGCAATGAGCAAACATGTAACTAAGTAGATACATTCTATACATTGATGTTTCCTCAAAAGATGACTGTACAATGAATTACATCAGCTAGATTGCATTTACCTGATGATGACTCTGCCGAGCTGGTTTTCCTCTCGCTGTCACTGATGTCTTGCAAGTCTGAAAGGGGATCTCTCTCTTCTGGTTTCTCTTCTTTTACTGTTAGACCATAAAATCAAAAATAGAGTGGTGACGGAATATCACCTCTACTGTAATCTCTGAATACTCAGAGCCTTTCCTTTCTCTAACCATTCAGCTGATACTGAACATTCATCCAATACAGACCGCTCAAAGGATTTCACATTCTCTTCAAGAGACAAACAGCTTTCTGAATTGCAGTGGTGCAAGATTAACTGGCAAAAATGTGGAATACTGACTTTTTTTTTTTTTCCTTAAGCCCCTCAGAGTGAAATATAAAAAAATGCATAACACGATAACAAACATCATTACAGCACAGTCTCAGCAATATGAATACCTACATATAGTGCTTGTTATCAGGAGTAATTCTACTGCAGTCCCTTTAGACCACCATGGAACAGCATGTACAAATAACTATTGATTGATTAGATATTACATTCAAAGGACTCATTGGCTGTCTCACCCTGGAATTTCAGCTGGCTACATTGCGCAATCACCTTCTTTGTACAGGAACAGGCTCACTGAAAATAGTTTCACTGACTTTTACAGCAACTTCAATCATTATACACATTAACAACACACACACGTAGCTTGTCTGCTTTAACTAAAGACATTTTTATGTCAATTGTGCAAGTTCTCTGCTCACAGCTAGGACCTTCCATGCATGGGAAGGGTCGTTGGGTCGTTTGCTGGCTTAAAAAAAAAAAAAACAAAATTCACCATCTAACCAGAATACGGCCTGAAGCATTCATTTTCTTATACACAAAGACAGTATTAACGTTGTTTAAAGTACACTAGTTCCTGGAACAGTTCCTTCTCATCAACAAACCCAACTAGATCTAGTATAAACAATCCCTTTTTAAGCTGCAAGGAAATTAAGTTACAGAAGAAGGAAGAAATCAGCTGCCTCTTTGATCAAGTAATGTTCAAAAAAAAATTTTTTTTTTTTTATTTACTGCTCTTACTACCAAAAAGGAAAGATTCTTTCAATTTGCTCCTCACACAATTACCTATGAAAGCAGTATTGCTTTGGAAAAGAGTATATATGTCATCCCTCAGAAATTTTCCAGAGTTATGCCACCATGACTAAAGTGACCAATATTTTCAATATTGCAAAAAGAGATAGGTTTACAACTAAACACTCTACTTTTCCCCAAAACAGCTCCTCACGGCCTCCAGGCAAAGGTATTATCAAGTGCAAATACTACCTGGTTTCCTGCCATCTCCTTGCTCAAGCTTGTCTCTTTGTTGTCGTAATGGGCTGCGACTCCAGGGTCTCATTTTTACTTTGTCGCCATATTCTTCCCTCACTGTTCTATGATGTGCAGAAACTAGTGAAAACAAAACCAAAAGAAATCCTTACAGCTCTGCTAAATGCAATTCTTTTGTCTGCCACAATCACCTGCTTTGTGTATTATTCCTTTTTCCTCAGAAAAGACAGAGAAATGGGGTAGGGGTGGGGTTGGAACCTAACTACATCAGAGAACAAAGGACTCTGCAAGTTACTGCATAGCTTTTGTGCATTGCAGTCAGCAGAAACTGCTTACAGAAAGGTGCTGTCGTACTTAACAAACAGGCGCAAGATGCCCTCTATAATATAGAGTGAATACCCTGAACCTAAGGCATTAGTAAAATGGAGAAAAGTGGACAGACCAAAGGAGATGCATAAAAACAGCTCAGGGTTAGAAGGAGCTGACAGAAATGTAAAGAGCAATAAAAATAACTAAAATCAAAGGCTAGGTATATTGAGCAATACCAGTATAAACACCAGGCATAAAAAGGAGCTGTCCGGCATGACTAGAACTAGGAAGAAGAGCAATAAACATGGCTTATTCTGCTACTCTTAAGCACTCTTTGTCACCTGATCACAGAGATGGGCAATTTTTAGCTCTGAAAGCTAGGATAAACAGAGATCCTTTAACTAAAAAGGATCTGAACTTAGACTGCAAGTGATCTGAAACATTATGTGAAGTGAGGATTCAGGTGTAAAAGTTAATTTAAATTAATTTATACTGTGCTGAACAAGTAGTTCTATGAACACAAGAACTAATGGCTCCTGGGTTTCTATATTGGTGTCTTGCAGTTGATTGACTTTGGTGCCTATGACATTAGTTCCAGCCAAAGCTTTTTCTGCTGCCGGGTTATCAGATCCCCCCTTAACTTAATTCCTACTATGGCCTTTTACATAGCTGGGAGCACATAAAGGCAAGGGGAGGGAGAGAGACCATGCGTTTCCCCCAACCCTTGAAATGTCTAATTTTGAGGCTTTAGCCTCTATCAAATGGGGCTGGACTCAGCTAGACTTCCAAAGGGATTGTGATCAATACAACCTGAATTACGTAAATCTTGCTTCTGTAGGAAACCAGACTAATGAAAAGAGGAAAAGAGAGACTTTCTGAAAATTTACTAACGGCACTTAAAGCTCCGTATGCCATGATATTTAAAAGATGATACAGCTAAAAAGCTTGACATTCTACTCCTCCATGCAGGATTTCACAGATTCTTTTTTCTGCATAGAAACATGTTTTTATTAATTCTGCTACTGACCTACGTAAAATACGCTTTCTTGCTTTCTATACCTCCATTCCAGCATTGTGTCATCAAATAGTAAGCCCAAACATCTATACTGAAATAGCTACCTTCTCTTCTGGCTTCCCTTTCCTTACGCCTTTCTTCAGCTCGTCTTTCTCGTTCTTTTTGCTCCCTTTGTTCTTTTTGCTGCTCTCTGATTTTTCTCTCTCGTTCTCGCTCAAGTTGTTCCAGACGATCTCTAGAAAAGAATTATTTTTTGTTACATTACAGTTCACTACAAATTCAGCTTCTGTTTTCTGTAACAAACTGCAAGACTACTCAGTTTCACTAACAACAGCACCACTAAGTGCATGCCTGCCAAAAACATAGGCAGCTTTTCAACTGATCCTTTAAAAGTAGTACTTCAGAGACAAAGATCATGAGCTAAGAAACACATAAGCTTCTGCACCCTTATTAGCGTTTAAAAAGATACAAAGCAAGTCCAGTTAATAGATCCCATCATACTATACAAAATCGATTTGCCCATTTTTCTCTACAGCAAAACACTGGCAACGACTTCACTTGGAAATATTTGTACTAATGGAAGTCACTCACAAAGCTAGTTAAAAGTCAAGAACCCATTCTGTTGGACAACACATTCACAGGAACATGCTACTGGCACTGGACCTTACCAGCTTTTGCTCTGAACTTTTGTATCAATGCAGAACAACGAAGAGTTACGGAGGCACTTAGAGAAGGAAGGGGTTCCTTTGCCATTTCTCTCCGTTTCTGTCTTTCCCATTCACGTCGGGCTTTATCCTGCTCTTCTCTATGTCTCTTCCTACGCTCATGTTCCCGTTCTTTCTCTTTCACTCTGGCATGTTTCCCTAACCAAGACAAAAGTGAGTTTTGGAGTGTTACTGTTCAAGATATTCAGCGCTCCTATTTCCAGAAAGCAAAACTAGAAAAGATGAAACTTATGACAAGCTATTTCTATGTTCTCTGGCCTTTTCTTAATGGAAAAATCTTGATCCAGAGGGGTGTTACAAGATTAAAAGTTTATAAAATCTTGCATGAATACTCATGTTGAAGACAGAGGAAGTTTGTTAGTAACAGGACTTTTCTGTACCGTTTTACATTGAAAGGATATTTATTCTTTTACAGCCAGGTGCAAAGATCACTCAGTGAAGCCAGGAAGAAGTTAAACAGCCTTCAAAGAGTAAAACTGGACCCTTTGGCCCTGTCCCAAAGTGGTTTCTGTCATCTCAGACTCATACACATCCTTCTTATAAGGGCATTCAACATAATCGAAGAAATAACACAAGTTTAACTCCTCTTGTCTTATCCACCTGTCCCATTTTCTCTACTTCACAGTTACTGTTATCTATCCTCTATACAGTGCCTGTTCAGCTTGACCTTGGGAAGCTACTATAAGTATTAAAGAACTGTGATAATACCGCCTTCTGCTGAATGACTACGATGTCTACGCTTCTCTTTCCTCTTCTCATCTTTTCTATGATGAGTTTTTTCTTTCCGTGACATTTGCTGTGGTGGTTTTATAGCCAAGGAATCATCTTCTTCTCCTCTAAAATACAACATAAATTAATACACTCAGGGAGCTTACACGTACTGTCTAACAAAGCGTACGTTATTTTCTCTTTTCTCCATTTTGAAAAGAATGCATTTTTTCTATTTCATTAATTTACATGAACGTTCATTTCTTTAACTTAATGCTTGAGCCAAGGCATTAAGAGTATGTTACAGAAAGTCAGACAGGTGAGTAGTTATGCTATTATTATATACACGCTTATAATATACAAGCAAACTAAGGGTAATTAGGTATCAAAGAGAACTCAGCAGGGCTGCTTTAACTGCACCTTGAGGGAAGTATTATATTTCTAGGTAGAGGCCAAAACTTGACCACATTGTTAAACCACAATCAGTACTTCAGAAAGATATCTTGGCATGTTCTGCACACAGAACACAAGATGGAACATCAGCATACTACAGGAGTTAACTCTTCCCCTTCAGAAATTTTTAAACAATCTTCTCAGCTCTTCTAAAGTTTCATTTCACCAACTCTTTCTAAGGCAACAAACATTATTCTCATATTCTGACCTGTCTTCCATAGAGTCTTCCCTTCTGTAAGGTGAATTTCTGATTGTTATTTCCATGCGGTGATCTCTCAGCTCCCCCTCTTCAAGGGAATCCCGCTTTGAATCCCGATCATCCGACTGTAATAGGAACACAAGAAAGGGCAAAAACAAAACACGGTTAAAGAACAAAAACAAAACACGGTTAATGTGTATGTTGCAAGAAGAAAGAGAAGAAAATAGTTAGCAACAATTCCATTTCTAACTCAGAAGCCAGCCTTGACTGATCACACCAGCAAAATACGCTCATTTATGAAGCACAGATTTCCAGCTTAAGTTAAAAGTAGCCAAATACAGTTAAGAGTGCAGTTATAGCTGAAATTCTGTAAATTCAATCTATTTTTGACAAAATTAACCCACAGCTATCAAACAGGATCCCAATAACTATTGTCTTTTTCTAGAAGACAATTATTTTATGTGTAAAAGACTTTGTTACCATAAGTAACAGTTATTTAAGTGAATTTAAGTCATTCAGTTTGAAGACAGAAGCCCTATAAAGTTTTATAACTTTATAAGGTAATCTATCTGAAGTGCAACTTACAGTTAATTATATCAATTGCTTAATCCTTTCAGCATCTATGAAACTAAGCATACAATGTAGGACCAATTCGATTTTGGCAAAGTATAGCATTTTGTTAAACTTTAAGGCAGAACATTAAGAGATCACTCGTGAAACATACAAGAACACAGAGAACAGAGCACTGACAGGGCTAGAAGCAGCACTGTTCTGATCAGAAAATGAGGGGACAGGCACTGAAGCTCTTCACTCCTCATTAGAAACACTTTTTAAAATCAAAGGGTGGCTTACATTTTTCATGCGTTTTATCTCTGCCTTCTCTTCTTGCTCCTTCCTTCGTTTTTTTTCCTGAAGAATTTCATCTAAAGTTTTCACTTTCCAAGAATCCTTTTCATCACCCATTTGAGTTCAAAAAAAGCTCTGAAAAAGAACATGATGTTAACGAAACCTACGCAAACTACACAGTCACCAAACATAGCTGCATTAATTTCACATTAATTTTTCATATACAGATAAACTTATTGTAACAGCTCCAAGGAGAGTCAAGTTGTAATTGACTTACACTGAACAGAGAGAGTCTTACTTAAATCTAGAACAAGCATAGGCTTTTCCATAAAGTTAAGGACCCATTAGAGCAAAACGAAGACAACATCTATAAACAAGATCTCGCTCTTTGCCACTTAGGAGGATGCAGAGGTGGTTGTAAGCACCAGCCTATCAAGTACAACTCTGCAATCAGAAGGATGAAGACAAACCCTGCTCTCAGCGGGCGCAATTACAGCCTCCTGCTGCGCCGCTGCTCCATCCCACCAGACAGCACCTCCGGGTCCGGGGCTTGCCCTC